CCCCCCCCCCCCTTTTTTCAAACCCCTTAGCAACAAAAAAAAAAAGATTTGATTTTCGTTCCTACGGCTTGGTAAACATTGCAGTCCGCCCTTTTTAAAAATGTAAAATGCATTTCCCTCAAATACTAAATAACCCCCATAATCTTCAACCCCCCCCCCCTTCCCCACTCCCCCAAACACTTTACTAAACCTGGCGAGCGCGCGCTGCAGTTTGAGAAACGCTGGAGTTACTTCAAAGGCGTTGAGGCAAATGTTAGTTCTTCGAGCCACCAAGTCAGTCACAGGTCAGTCACAGGTTAGCCACAGGCCAGTCACAGGCCAGTCACAGGTCAGTCACAGGCCAGTCACAGGCCAGTCACAGGCCAGTCACGGGTCAGTCACAGGTCAGTCACAGGTCAGTCACAGGCCAGTTACGGGTCAGTCACAGGTCAGTCACAGGTCAGTCACAGGACATTCACGTATTACATCTGACAGTCTGTCAAACGTCAAGCCATGAGCTTTACAAACAACGAAGAGACTCGATAGAGGCTTCGATCGAGTTACACTTGGTTCTATTACACGACATGAGACAGCCAACAGACACAACGTGAGACAGCCAAACGAACAACGTGAGACAGCAAAAAGACACAACGTGAGACAGCTAAAAGACACAACGTGAGACAGCCAACAGACACTACGTGAGACAGCCAACAGACACTACGTGAGACAGCCAAAAGACACAACGTGAGACAGCCAAAAGACACTACGTGAGACAGCCAAACGACACAACGTGAGACAGCCAACAGACACTACGTATCTATCTCAGCCAAAAAAGTTCTTATCAGAAAAACATCCATGGGGCAGATCTAACCATCCATTTTTTTAGAATAGTATAAGGATATAACAAAGACAAACAAAAAAAATATCTAAATAAATAGACTGAGTCACAAATATAGTGATCATTAATATGGGCAGTTGTGTTGAGTGCAGTAAGTTGGTGAACACAGCCTAGTAAGCTTTCCTTTGTGTTCAATAATAAACGTGTATATTTTTTTTTTTCAATTCGTAAATGTTTCTTTTTTGCACACAAAAATGTCTTGTTCATAAAGTCGTGTGTCTTAACACTTACAATGTGTCCCAGGAAGCTCCAAGATATTTCACAACTTACGTCTCCAAAACTTCAATTCGTGTCCGTAGGTCAAGGCCAGCACGTGCAGCATGAACCAGGCACGTCCGACTTAACCGTACCACTCCTGTGGGGTGGGTATGTCGTCCCCCCGCAAACCCGTCTTCCGGACAGCTTGTGAGGCGCTACGCACGAAGGTACGCGCGCGGGTTGCCTCAAATAACGGATCAGATGTCCGCCGGCCGCCATCTTAGACTGAGGCGTATCCCGTCGCCACACCTGGTGGCCGCCGACGCGAGCAGCTCCCCCCTCCCAACCTACGCACACCTGTGAATGACTTTGGTGGTCTCGCACGTCTCGCAGACCACCTCGCAGCACCACAGGAACCGGCACTTGCAGTTCTCCCTCAGGGTGACCTGCTGCTTGGTGTAGCCCCGGTTGCAGCACAGCAGGTCGCAGCCGCCGACCCCCATCGATTCGGGGTCGCACTCGCGACCCTTCGTCCCCAGCGAGCCCACGTTCTTGTTCTTCTTGCAGAAGTCCGGAGAGGGGTCGGAGTACACGAGGTCCTGCTTGGAGGGCGGCTTGATCGTGGAGCCCTCCGGGATTATGTTCTTGCCGTCGTTGGAGATGATGACTTTGATGGCGCCGTCGAAGCGCTCCTTGAGCCTGTTGCTGACCTCTCGGAAAGGCGGCATTTTCTTCCAGCACGTCTTCAGGGTGCAGGACCCCGAGAGGCCGTGACACTTACACTCCCGTCTCATGTAATTCTTGACACTCTGCAGAGTAGTTCAACAAAAAAAATAAATATGTGGCATAGTTTGAGATTAGCATGATGAATAAACATAGGCCTCTCACACTCCACCCGACCTCATAGTGAAGGCGAGATAAGACTGGATGTATGGAACTACAGCTTCATTAAGGGTTGAACATACGAATTTTAACTTAGGAACATAAAATAGAACATTTGGTAATGGGACTTTGAACTGGGATACTGAAATATTGAATTTGCATGAAGAGATCACGACCTTGTGATTTATTGACCAAGAATCTTAAACTAGGTATTGGGGAACTTGGAATTTTTGTATAAGAACAAAAAGATATCGCTTATTGCAACTTCAAAACAAAAAAATGAATTTGTGTAGTATTTAATATACTGTGCTCAGAGCAGCTGCAAGGGTAGCTCTCTGCCTCAAAAAACATCGCACGCGAGTCACCCAATCTCACGCACAGCTCACTCACTCACCAGTCTCCCAGCCTCGTTATTATGGAGCTGAATCATGGCGGTGAAGTCCCCTCTCCTGTTCCGCTTCCGGGCGTCCATGAACTCGCGCGACTTCCGGTAGCCGTACTCCACGTTGTCTCCGCAGCCGCCCCACTCCCACTCGCCGTCCGTGCTCATGTCCCGGGCGTTGTGGTCGCACGTGCACTGTAGCAGCGCCCCCATGCTGCAGGCCTGCGTGACGGCGTACACCACCCCGGCGGACGTGCTGGCGTAGACGAAGGCGGATTCTCGTATATCTGAAAAGGTGGAGGGGGAAAAGAAGAGAAAAAAAATGCAATGGGTGAGCGTTGGAAAAAAAAATAATAAAAGAGATTAATAAAAATAGATGCCAGTTAGTTAAGACTGTAATCCCAAAGACCGATATATATAGGATTACAAAATTAAATTTTAAAATATTGCATCAATTGTTTAATTTAAAAATGGGTGTTTGTTTTTGTATGTTTTTTGTTTTTTTGTTGTTGCTCTTTTTGTTTGTTTGTTTGTTTGTTTTTATGGTATAGTCTTTTTTTTTTCTTTTTTAGTTTTCATATTCAAATGAACAAGAGTTTGAAAAAAAAAAAAATTGAAAGAGGTGCCAAGNTTTTTTTTTTTTTTTTTTTTTTTTTGTTTTTTAATTTTTTTTTTTTTTTTTTTTTTTTTTTTTTTTAATAAAAATTATTATGGTTTTTTTTTTTTTTTTTTTTTATCTAAGCATATATAGCTGTAACTCTATGTTTGAAAGGCGAGCGAAATAAAATTTCCAGATTTTAGCACTAATGTTGGGATTCTTGTGAAGTGTGTTACAATAATGGGTGTTTTGTCAAGACACTTTTGGTACGTGGGGAGTTCACGGTAGCATTGCCGCCCCCTCCCCCCAACACCCCAAGCCCTCCCGCCATTGCTTTGGGTGGTTATTTCTTCTTAATTATGAACAATGCTTGAAATATGTATATGGAGTTTTGAGGATGGTGTACTATATTCTACGCATGAATCGTAGTACGTGATGAAACATGACCCAAAGAACACTGAACAGGTTTCATTGATAGCATTATAAGGTGTTTGGTGTAGAGCCCGACCGAATTTCGGTTTCAGCGTCGAAAGTTGCCATTTGATAATCTTCGGCGTTGTTTCGGTTTCGGCCGAATCAGAAAAGTTAACTTTGGGCTTATTTTCGATTACAGCCGAAATGATTGGGGTTTTTCGGTCTTCTACCAGAAATCACACTGTCAATCTGTCTGTCTGTCGGGCGTCAAACCGATATTCATTATTGCTCGACGTCTAGCTGCTATTATACGATATATGACTAATCTTCTGCGAACACTGATCACGGCTGCGTGATGTCCTACTTTTCCAATATTTGTTTCCAAAAATAAAATTTCGATTTGCTTTAAGTGTGGAATAATTTTTGATTCATCGTTATCAGGCTCATAAATGTTATCAAAGGCCAAGTTGTTACCACACACACACACTCACAAAAAAATTCTAAAGGAATGTAAAATTTTCTAATAAAATCTGCTTTAAATTTGTTTAAAATAAAAATTGTGGAACCATGGGCTGATTCAATTCATTCATTTATTGAACTCTTATCATTGTCATGCAGATGAACATTGTCACTGACGAGATGAATGGTTAAAATGTTCCACAAAACTAGTCACGTGTGTGGACGCAAATGTAAAGGAAGATAATAATGAAACCCTTAGTAATATATATTTTTTTAATATAATAATTATTTATTTCTATGTTGTATATTTGGGCACAGAATTAAATCATTAAGCATACACACACACACACACACACACTCACGTGTCCATGTAGCACTGTTTCGTACGATATTTATACAGTAGGCCTATTATAGCATCATACTCAATGTAGCTCAACTGTCGTTCGACTTCTGTTTAAATTCCCCCCCCCCCCCCCCCCCCCCCCCCCAAAATTACTTTTTAATGCCATTGGATAAAAACAAAGTATTCATTCTGGCGTTTATCTATTAAAATTAACGATTATCTCATTTTTAATAAAAAAAAATAGTATAAGTATTGATACCCCCCCCCCCCCAAAACCGTTTTCCAACATACGCAGAACCTATGCGCGAAAGATTTTCAATATATCTAAACTTTTCGGGTTGTGGCTGAAAATCTGCTTAAACTTTTGGTTTCATCTTCGGCCGAAATCCGAAAATCGCCTTTCGGTCGGTCTCTAGTAGTTACATGTGTATCACATTTCAACCCTCGACGAAAAAAAAAATGAACCCTCGAATATAAGGTACTTTTTTTTCTTCTCTTGAGAAGGTTAATATCAAACCCTTGAGCAGAATCATAAGTGCAGGTATTACTCAGAAATTCCGGGGTCGATGTCTTTATCACGGTCAGAACCGTAAATCCATTTTTTTATTATTTTTTTTTTAAATATAAAATATATCGCAACTAACAATATTTAAATTCGTTTAAATTGTAAAATCCAAATGTGTTCTGTTTATCTTTCCCAAACCCCAGACG